GGGGGGAGGAACCTGTAAGATATTTAACACGGGCAAAGGGAAGTCTTGGAATGCAGCAGTTTAACTGCCTTGCAACCCTTTTCTTCACGATTTCCACCACATTTGTTAGAGAGGGAGATGCCATGGGGCTAGAGGTCCTTGGGGTTTTGCTTTTCCACTGACAAGGCTTTCCCAGGTGCAAGAGGCAGCCACCTAGTTCCCTATCCCCTTGCCGGCCAGGGGCAGGCAGTGAGGCCCGTGTGGGATTCTAGAGATTTCGGTCCACTGCTTGCTGCCCCTCCCCACCCCCTCCCAACAGGGTCCCATGCCCACAATCCCGCCTCCCAGAGACCCTGGCATCCATTCCTTTAGGCTTGTGGCACCACAGCATCACCTTTCCCACCAGCTCCAGACTGTGCTGCCGAGATTTCCTCTTTCACCCTCCTCTATCTCTGTTCCCCAAGTAAAGCCAAGAGGCGGGGATGAGGGCAAGGTGGAGATCATCAGTTTGCCCCATCTACAGATCTGTGGCTTCATGAGATTTCTGACTTCTCTTCAGCTTGGAAAAGGGTTACACTGGGCACTAACCCAGAAAGTCTCACCTAATGGACCTGGCCCTGTGAATTGGCAGTGCTGGGCAGGACAATTTCTGGCACTTGCAAGTCCCATGATTTTGTTGGGAATTTTGAGGGTGGGAGGGAAGGGACATGAAATCATCTTAGCTTAGCTTCCTGTCTGTGACTGTCCATATAGTGTACTGTGTGTTTTAACAAATGATTTACACTGACTGTTGCTGTAAAAGTGAATTTGGAAATAAAGTTATTACTCTGATTAAATAAGGCCTCTGTTCATGCATTCCAGTCACAAGAAAATGACAGGAAGTGACAATGTTGTTAAAACCTGGACATCAGGATTCACCAGTTGATTTTGCTATCTCCTGTGCCCTGAAAGTGAAAGAAGAGCTCTCAGTCATGTTCATTTTCAGCTGATTAGCTCAAGCTGCTCTTGGCAAACTAGCCTCGTCCAGGTCAAAGGTCAATACCCTTGTGGCTGAGATCACAATACTGCAAAGGAGTTTCTAAGACAGGTACGGTATATTCAAACTTGAGAAGAGACTGCCCAGGCTGGGTGAAGACGGGTGGATGTATGAGATCTTCTGTCCTGGGAAATTAGCCTAGAGCTCTGGGGCTGAAGCAGAACACTAGGCCAGTCAGTTGAATGAATGGCTTCGATTCCTTCCAGGTTTATATAGCTCACTTCCCTTTTTCCTTTGGAGCCTTATTATAGATTGGGGAGTGTTTCTGCCAAACTAAGACAGGGATACCAGATAGCTTCCCTTCAGCAATGCCACAAAGGGGAACAAAAACAAAACAGTAACCCATCATACTAATTATTGTTCTTTAGGCTAATTAGGTCACGGCCATGATACTGAATCCTTAGATTTTCACACAGTTTCAAAAATTATTTTCTCGGTTCTTCCTGATGTGCTCAGCCACTGCAGGCGCATGCTAAGTAGAGCAGTTCTTAACT